CTGCGATCATCTGTATCCGCAGTGTTCGAAGAGCGTTAGTCGTAAAAACATATCGTCTCCAATCGCATCTAATATGACAGCAAGCGCTATATTATATACTAATACATAATATAGTGGAAGATTATGAGCCTCCATGAAGATTTTGGAAAAATGAGAAGAAGTGGCGTGCATCCTTCAGATTTTGATTACTTAATCAATTTAGTGGTACCAAGAATTCAAAAAAAGAGATACTAAATTTAGGAAAGCCATTTCAATGCAAGACATATTAGCTGTGACTTTGAGTTTTTATTTTTCGGATTCCACAAAACAGGGGTATTTTTGTACTCTTCTATTAAATTTTTTTTTTCATTTCATTCCATGATCGCACCCAAAGTTTATAGAATAAGTACCGCAACGCTGATTGATAAACTGACACGTACTAACTTGTGCTCCTACTACCGTCCACACTATTGCTCCGCTCCTCTTTGTGTTCGCGTGTTTACCGACACACTCTCGGATCGCCAAAATGGAACGCAGCTTGTTCGCAAACACAGAGCGCAGGACGTACACACTATAAATTTATATTTATATTATAATACCTGATATGGAGATACGGAGCGCAGATGACTACTAGGCTTTAGCTTTAACTAAAAAAAAAAAAATTATACACCAAAAACTAAATTTGAGAGTATTAAGATGGTGTATTATCAATAAAGGTCTGCAAACATACAAGGTGATCCGTAATACTGTCAGAAAGTAATCTATCTACTTTACATTCAAAATACTGACATTTTTTTAATAATCTTTTGAATTTAGGATAGCAATTTTATAGAAATAGCTTATCTGTTGTTTATTTAAAACAATTTATTATCTAATGTCCAAAGCCTAATAATTTATTTGTTCACTGAAATTTTGCTATTTTACTACAAATCACAGGATGGTTCATGTTTTAATGCGCAAAATTCACCAGTTGAGAAAATATACCTATTATGGTAAACGGAATATACCAACAATATGAACGTAAATGGATTTTGTTTTCGAGATATAGGGCATTGAAATTAGCAAACAAATATCACATTTTCTAAAATATCTCTGAGGATGTTTGACCGAGGCTGATGAAAGTTGTATCATTGTTTTATCCAAGTAGAAAAATAACTGGCTAAATTGGCTACAGTGCTACCAGAATATTATAATTTCGACTCCAAAAAGTATGTGCAAATTCGAAATGTTTTTATAACCAATGTAATTTCTTTAAAATAAATATTCTTTACATTACGTTCGAAGAAGAAATTGTTCTAGGGTAATATTTTTTTTATATTAAAGTGGCCTTACAGCACAGTTACGTAAGTAAATCGAAAACAGCTAAATAATAATAATATTGTTCCACAAATACAGTTTTTTGTTAGACATACAAGTACAACGTAAAGCGTAAAATAACTTTGACGTAAAAAATTCTAGTTTTTTTAAGTGTATAACTTTTAAATAAATATCAAATTTTCTACAACAATGATTTTTTTTAACTTTTGGTCCATTGCTTCTATTTAAAATTATACATATCTAGAAAACATCCCAGAAACTGATTTTGTGAAACGAATAATTTTAGAGATATTTAACTGTGTGGTAAGATCTTTTTAAAATTAAAAAATCTGACTATAAAGTGGCTCTTTCTTCAAACAAAATGTAAAAAAAATTCTTAGAAATATCGTTGGTAATATTAATTGAAGATGCAGAGAACTCATTCGTGTCGAAATTCTTAGGCTCCTATTTGTTCTTAAAGATATTTCATGATATTTTTTCTAATTTCAACACCCTGTATCTCGAAAACGAAGTCAACTATGAATTACATCCATATAAAGTCAGGATTCATCAGCAAGTGAACTTTTTGAATTGATACCTATAGCGCCCTGTATATCGAAATACTGTTTTATTAAAAGACTGCTATCTAAAAAATACAGGATAATTAAAGAACCACCGATTTAATGTATTTTATTTGTATAAAAATGGTACCAGTACCCACCCGATTATCTACGGCACTGGGCATTTTATTTTTGGCTAATACCACTACACGATGCAATAATTGAGTTTTTATTTCAAACCATTTCAGAAATACTAAGGAGTTTGAAACAGTGCTGTATCTTCTTATGTAAGACCAACCCACCAAATTTTATTAAGGACTTTTTCTTTGAAATATTCCAATAAAACATTTTCTGTTATTTTACCAGTTTTCTTTTCTTCACATATTTTTAATTAAGTGTATGCATTCATGTACAATCTTTTCGATTTTTCTGGCAACAAATCACTACTTACACTAATTGCTTAACCTCTAAGTTCAGGCGGGTACACGCTTCCATCATTAAATCACTGTCACTAAAACATTCAAACATTTTTCAATTTTATTCACACGTTTTACCTAGAAGTTTTATATAGCGTCTATTTTCTGGAAAATGGCATTTAAAATTATATTGCATTCATAGATCTAATATACAGGGATGGTCAGAAGTACGGAAAAAATTTATATCTTCTGAATGAGTTAATTTTTTTTAAAACGCCGAAACACGTTAACTGATTTTCTCATCTTTCGGTTATATAATAATTAATTTTTCTTCAACCCCCAGCTACCCCTACTTTTTTTTTAAATGGAAACATAAGGCATAAGGGGGCTCGTTGAAAAGCTTATAGAAAACCGAATCCAGCCATACCAAATAAACAAGTTTTATTTTTTCAATAGCAAGGTTTTTAGGGTTGTATAAAACACCTACTTAACAAGTGAAATAAAATTTAATTATCTTCAGTGTTATCCTCCATGAATTTGCACAGAATAAAATAAAGAATTTGAAACTGTACCTATCACTGCTAACGCAAAAAAGATATATTTTTTATGTTGCGTTTTTTTGGCACCACTTACTTGCCAGGCTTTCTGGTTAATTTTTCGCTTTAGTTGTAAATTGGAGTTCGAAACGTTACTATTGTGTCAAAATCAAGTTATTTACTGAATTGCAATGGTATTGTCGGAAAGGCAACGCATCGAAATCTTGATATTGCTTGGATGTGGAGACAAAATAAGAAGTCAGGCTGAAGTGCGCGATTTATTTAATGCGAAATATCCCGAAAACCAAATCTCGCAAGGGACAGTTAGTAAAATATTTCACAAATTTGAGGAACACGGTACAGTACAGACTTTGCCCAAAACTGGACGGGCACGTGCTTTGAATGAAGAAAAGAAATTAGACATTGCATTAGAACTTGTTGAAAATCCTCATACTTCAACTGTTTCATTGGCCCGCAATCACGATGCTTCTCGAACTGCAATTCGAATGTTTCTGAAACAAGAGAAATACCACCCCTATAAGGTATGTCTTGTCCAAGAGCTTTTGGAAGACGATTATGATAGGCGATTACAATTTTGTGAGGAAATGATGAGACGGTGTGACGACAATAATGGTTTTCAACGAGACGTACTTTTTTCGGATGAAGCTACGTTTTATTTAAATGGAGTGGTTAACAGGCACAACTATCGCTTTTGGTCCCAGGAAAATCCACACTGGACATGCGAATCGCATACGCAGCATCCACAAAAAGTTAATGTATGGGCAGGTATCATCAACAACAGAATCTTGGGCCCATTCTTTTTTGAAGAAAATCTTACTGCCGCACGCTACCTGGATTTCCTAACATTTGACCTGATACCTGCTCTAGCTGTGATTTTCCCTCATGAAATTGATCCAGATATACCGAATGAAAGAATTTGGTTCCAACAAGATGGCGCTCCCCCACATTTTGGTATTGATGTTCGAAGATACTTAGATGAAATGTTTCCAAATCGCTGGATTGGTAGACGGGGTACAGTTGAATGGCCGCCAAGATCCCCCGACTTAACACCCCTGGATTATTTTCTTTGGGGATATTTGAAAGAAAGAGTCTACCAGGACAGACCGGATAATATTGAGAATTTAAAGAACAAGATTAGGGCGGAGATGCATAATTTACCAGCTGAAGTCATTCAGAATGCTGTGGACAGCTTTTACTATCGTCTTGGAGAATGCCAAATAGTGAATGGAGGACATTTTCAGCATTTGCGACATTGAGTTTATTTTTGTAAATTATCTAGTTGTTTCAATTTCTAAATGAAAAAAAACTTGTTATTGAAAAAATAAAACTTGTTTATTTGGTATGGCTGGATTCGGTTTTCTATAAGCTTTTCAACGAGCCCCCTCATGCCTTATGTTTCCATTTGAAAAAAAAAGTAGGGGTAGCTGGGGGTTAGGGGGTTGAAGAAAAATTAATTATTATATAACCGAAAGATGGGAAAAAATCAAAATCAGTTAACGTGTTTCGGCGTTTTAAAAAAAATTAACTCATTCAAAAGATATGAATTTTATTCCATACTTCTGGCCATCCCTGGATAATAATATACCTTTAGATCTATGATTATATTAGTTTCATTTTGTTGGTTTGACAACTGAACTCCCAAACAACTTGATATTTTGAAATATTTGGAAGAACATAAGAAATTGCTAATATTAAAATCTAATCAAATCAAATATGGCAATATATCAATGTTAGTAGTAAAAAATATTGTATATTCCTATACTTCGGTTGAGAAGGCCATTATAGACGTCGCACATTATATACAGGGTGTTAATGAACTTATATAAAAAATTTAAAGTGATGAAAAAGGAGCAAAAATTGAGTTAACTGATGTCACAAACTTGTATCGGAAGTTTAAGGTCATAGAGAAAAAGGCTAATTAAAAATGCGTTAAAAACTGTTTTGGAGCTGCTAAAATACATATATTTTATCGCGGCGAGTACTTATAAAAGATTCTGTAACATAATTACGAGTTTGTAAGCTGGACTGTATTCGAAAGTTAGTTTGTAATACATTGTTGTAGTGATTGCTGTGCTGTTTTTCGAGAGTATATTTAATAGCCGTATTTCCAAGTTTTCTTTTGAAAATGGCGCATTTATTTAGCAATCGAGAATATTATGATATGCTTATAATTTATGGCGAAGCAACCGAAAATGCTCACAGAACTTGTCAAGTGTACCGTGCAAGATATCCTGAACGACCTGAATCGATATCTTGAAGCTTGTGTGCAAGCCAATGGTGGGCACATCGAACATCTTCTATGAAAATCAGCAATTCTCAAAAGGTGGCTCCCTGCAATGTTGGGGTAAGTCAGATTATTTGCCTCATTTTGATATAACGGACATGTCGCAAATATATTTGACATAAGTTCATTAACACCCTGTAAAAAAATGATCAGTAAATAGTAGCTCACGTCTCAACCCAAGTATATAATGTACTCTTTCTTAGCTACGGATCACCTTATGAAAAGTGGGTATAGGATACTTTCACACACTAGCCTGAATAAAATTCATGCTTCCTCTTCTAACAGGAGCATTGGGAGCTGGCACCGCTCTGGGCTGGTCGGCTAATATCTCGCAGGACCTGAAGCAGGGAAAACTGAACGATTTTAAGATGGACGACGACCAGCTCGGTTGGGCCGGTTCCAGCATGACCCTCGGAGCCATGGTGATGTGTTTCCCCATAGGATGGATCTCTGACGCTATCGGCAGGAAACCCACCGTGTTACTCACCGTGTTCCCCTTCGTCATCGGATGGCTGTTAATCATTTTCTCGCAGCACGTAGCCATGATATACGCGGGAAGGTTCTTGACCGGCGTGGCGGGGGGATCTTTCTGCGTCACCGCGCCTCTGTACACGAGCGAGATAGCGGAAACTGAGATTCGAGGAAGGCTAGGTAATTGAAAATGTAGTGTTCAGAAGTTTTCATCGAGCATGTATCTATATCGAGATCCATGGTCCATCTAAAAATGCTCGAGAGTTGAATGACTTTTGAGCGCTTCGGATTCGTCCTCAATCAGAGCGTGTTGTTTTTTTGAAAAAGAATTACAAAATATAGAGGGTGGGCCACCAGTAACGCCTCGGTCGCTAGTGACCAAACGGCAAATGTTACAGAAACCTGTTTAGGTGGGTATGTGTAGGTTGATTACGGCTACATTTTAAAAATATTTTGAAATATACAGGGTGTCCAGGAAAAGCGTACCATATCAAAGTTATGTTTTTTTAAATGGAACACCCTGTATTTTACTGCATTTTTGAAAGCACCGTAAAAAAATAGGTGAACTTTATTAAAGGTTCTGCATACCTAGGACTTACAGTTTGTGAGATATTTCAATTTTAGTGAAAATGCAGGCATAGCGTAGAAATTTAATATTAGCAATAAAAAAATAATTTTAAGGAAGCAGCTTTGGAGGGTCTATTTTAGATCCTTGAAGTTATAAATTGTTATATTTGTCGTCACTTAGTATTATACAGGGTGTTCAAAAAACTGCTGAATACTTCTCTCAACTTTAAACAGCAATAACTTGGTTATTTTAAATGGAACACCCAGTATATTTTTACTTTGGGAGTTGGGAAATTTAAAACTCTTTCAAACTGTGTATAGGTTCCCTATACCTATCTCTAACGGTATTGGAGATATTTGTGCCGTTTCGTTTTTTATCGATTTTTTTTTTGTAAGATGTATCCACGTGTCTTTATCGAGGTCTTTACTGAATTGGTTTGAGTTCTTCTTGATGACGTCTCTTTAAATATAAGGAGAAAAATGTGAATGCAATTAGATGGCGCACCTGCACATTTTTCATATTCAGTGAGGAATTATATAAATCGATAAATAAGTAATAAATGAGTAGGTAAGAATGGTCCATGTCAGTGGCTACCACAGGTGTCCAAACCTCTCGTAATAGACTTCTTTGTTTCGGGCTGTATAAATATATATCTTGTACACAGTGTTCCACCTACTACTTGCGATGATATGAAGAAAAGGATTAGATATATCACCCCAAATAACTATTCTAAGGAATGTGAGAATATCATTTGAAGATAGAATAAGATGCTGTATTCAAGAGAAAGGTTATCAATTCGAACATCTATTAAAATTTTTCTTTGTTTCTTCTAAAAGTAAAATTTTCTTTAATAAATATTTTTCTTGTTCATAAATAATTCAGTTACTTACTACAAACATATTTATACAAAATTAATAACTTTTTATAATCATTCTGCTTATAAAATAATATTTTTTATTAGAAAACTTTTTTGAATATTTTCATGATAATGATAAAAGGAACTTTTACTTTTAGAAAAAACAAAGAAAAATTTTAATTGATGTTCGAATTGATAACCATTCTCCTGAATACAGCATCTTATTCTATCTTCAAATGATATTCTCACGCAAATGCATCTCTAATCCTTCCCTCCAATATCATCGCAAGTAATAGGTGGAACATTGTATACAAGATTTTTTATATAGCTCGCAACAAAGAAGTCCATTACGGTGAGGTCTGGACACCTACGTGGCCACTGACATGCACCATTCCTACTTATCCATTTATTACTAAATTTTCGATTTAAATAATTTCTCACTGAATATGAAAAATTTGCAGGTGCGCCATCTAATTGCATCCTCATTTTTCTCAATATATTTAAAGAGACGTCATCAAGAAGAACCCAAACCAATTCAGTAAAGACCTCGATAAAGACACGTGGATACATCTTACAAAAAAAATCGATAAAAAACGAAACGGCACAAATATCTCCAATACCGTTAGAGATAGGTATAGGGAACCTATACACAGTTTGAAAGAGTTTTAAATTTCCCAACTCCCAAAGTAAAAATATACTGGGTGTTCCATTTAAAATAACCAAGTTATTGCTGTTTAAAGTTGAGAGAAGTATTCAGCAGTTTTTTGAACACCCTGTATAATACTAAGTGACGACAAATATAACAATTTATAACTTCAAGGATCTAAAATAGACCCTCCAAAGCTGCTTCCTTAAAATTATTTTTTTATTGCTAATATTAAATTTCTACGCTATGCCTGCATTTTCACTAAAATTGAAATATCTCACAAACTGTAAGTCCTAGGTATGCAGAACCTTTAATAAAGTTCACCTATTTTTTTACGGTGCTTTCAAAAATGCAGTAAAATACAGGGTGTTCCATTTAAAAAAACATAACTTTGATATGGTACGCTTTTCCTGGACACCCTGTATATTTCAAAATATTTTTAAAATGTAGCCGTAATCAACCTACACATACCCACCTAAACATGTTTCTATAACATTTGCCGTTTGGTCACTAGCGACCGAGGCGTTACTGGTGGCCCACCCTGTATATGCATGCATATACCAACTACTTTTGGAGTTAATAGAATTCACGTTTAACAATCATAGAAACACTTATTTCAATTAAATTAATACATTATTGTATTATCTATAGCAGCAATCAATGCGGGACGGTTAATTAGACCGGTTTTCGCCCCCTTCATTTTTGGCCGAAAGAGGAAAATTTTTTTAGTCAGGATCAAGGTCAATTAGAGGTCAGATTGAGAAAAAGTGTATTAAATTAAAGTATCTCGGAGTTTAGGTTTTATGGCTTGTCCAGTCCAAATCGGAGGCCAATTAGTCTGTATCAGGTTATTTGAAGGTCGTCTCAAGGTCATTTCAAGGTCAAGTTGAGACCAACGTCTAACCGCCTGTTATAAACGTATTTGCAGTTGCTGAGATCAAATCTGAGGTCAGTTTGTCTGCGTCAGGTCATTTGAAGGCCATTTGAATGTTAATTTATGGAATAAACCCTGGAATCAATTAGTTGCTGAGTCCAAATCCGAGGTACATGTATATGTATTAATAAAGGTTCAAGGATATTCCAAGGTTGATTTGAGAAAAAGGACTTCTGGTAAGGTCAGTAAGCTAAAATTGTTGATAATAAAAATAAGTTTTTTAAAATCATTTGAGTTTAAACACAAGTACGTACGTAAGGTTCAGACAAGTTAATCTGAAAGAGCAAATGAGCAGATCTTTTATCTCGAAAACTACTTGTTTCACACAAAAATGACCTGTACGAAGGTTGTAGGACTTCGCATGAGTTTCACATCAGTGACCTAAAACTTGGCCAATCCTCCTTACCATCGGTTCACATTAAGCTAATCGACACAAATCAAGTAGTGGAGGACTAAATCGTCTTATAATTGGACCTTGGATTCGAACTCAGAGACTTCAAAAACGGTAATCGATTTCTTGGTTTTTTCTTGATCTGACCTTTAAATGACCTTGAAACAACCTTAAAATGACCTGATGCAGAGAAACTGACTTCAGATTCGAACTCAGTTAACCCAAAAACCTATATAACAGGCGGTTAGACTTAATTGCTCGGTTTTCTCAACTTGACCTTGAGTTGACCTTCAAATAAGCTGATACAGACAAACTGACCTCGGATTCGAAATCAGAGACCCCAAAATCCCGTATAACATGTGGTTGGACTTGATTGCTCGGTTTTTTCTCAATTTGACCTTGAAATGACATTGAAACAACCTTAAAATGCAGAAAGTGTCTAGAGGCCAATGGTGGTGTTATTGAACATTTAATCAATAAATTAACTTTTTGAAATGTATTTCATAGCTTGAAAACAAATGAAAATCGCATAACAACATTTGAGTTTTTTCTTATTATAATAAATTAAAAAACTTTCTTCCCACATTAATACAAAAAGATAAGACTAAATATGACAACATGGTTCTACCTTTTGTTAAGTTTTATTTACGTCGTTCAACTCAATGTTTAGATGGACTTTAGTATATAAAAATATTGCAGGAGGCGATTTAAGAAAAAAGACAACTTTATAATATGAGATTTTATGAAGTAAAGAATTAGTTTTCTAGATACAGACTGACAATACTTTTGAAAAATATCATATTTATTCATGATGATATATAGGTAATATAGATTAATGAAATTTGGCCTTACAATTTAAGTAGATAACGATAAATCCGATTTATTAGAAGTGGAGCTTTTCGAGTTATTTTTATTTATATCTAAATGAATACATAAATCAACAGTAATAATTGTAAAACCATTCGTTTCACAGAAAATATGTGTCTATAAGAATTTGTTATTAGAATTAAAGGTTTAAATAGATACAGTGTGATCATCAATATTCCGAAAAGATTATTTCGGAAATTGTTATTATTATTAGCAGTACCCTCAGAAATTCTAAATTCTTTTAATAATGACTATTAAGGACTTTTAATGATGCCAATCTATTTATAATCATATTTATAACAGACAAATTCATAATTTTTTTCTGTAAAGCAAGTAGTGTTACGGTTTCTCTCGATTAATTGTTCAACAGTGTGATAGATAAGTTTATTTTAGAAAATATAAGTAATTACTCGAATATGACTAGTTTTTCGATTTATATAAAATAGAAAAAAAAAACTTCTTAGAAAAATAATTAGTAACCAAATGCAAATGCTCCTATTAAGTTTAGAGAAATTCAGTAGCGTCGAACTTCTGTAATTCTTAGTGTCAATGTCTCTCCTCCACTGGTTCACAGAATTATATAAAAGTTTGTTGAATTTGACGTCTATTTAGTTAAATCGTTAATAGAAGATTCATTAGTCTTCATCAAATATGGTCAGAGATATTTGACCAAATAATAAATGGGATTTGATTAAATTTTAACATTCTGTATCTCGAAAACTGAGCGCTTTAGGACTTAAGTGCGTACGTTTTCTGAAAATATTCCATGCATCATCTCCTGAAATATTTTCAGATACCTAAGTTACCTACTATGGCGCATAGTAAAATTTTTATTCTGATTCCACGATTTACAGACGGTATCTGAAAGCTGAATTGTTTAAAATAATTTTTCGGTTTGTCCCTCTGCAGAAAGTTATGCGTATGTTCATCAATTTATTGAATATTTAATTTTGTTTTTTCATTGTTTTGACAAATTTCTATCAACGTTTACTACATTCGATATTATAGCATTCAAAGAGAAGTAATTGCTCTGCTATTTAATTTACTTGAGGTGGATATCTTCCAAAACCACCGAAATAAAAGTAGTTAAAAATAGTGAAACCGCCGTTAACTACTCCTGACTTTTCGTATATACACATACAGAAAATTTATCTAGGTACAGAATGTTTCAAATTTCGTGCAAGTTGTGATGCAAGTTAATTGAGTGCTGTTACTGATCCACTGCTTGAAGAAAATTAACAATAATTTCGTATCCACAGTAATCATTTCTTAAGACGATACAATCGCAGCCATTAAAATAATTACATTTCAACTAAAGCGACGTACAATTTTGCTTAATAAATATCGTTTAAACTTTTTAAATAAAATAAAAAAGATAAATGTTTATAATTTCCTGGAATTGACATAGGATATCTTTCTATTTCTGTTCTCCACGAAAAGTTGTCATCCTAGACGAAACCACCAATTTTTTAATCGTCCTTTGCATCTTGCAGGTACGTTCTTCCAGTTGTTCATAACGATTGGCATTTTGTACGCTCAGGTTTTTGGATACGCTGTGCCGATGGTGGTATTTCATTACCTAATGTTAGCGGTGCCAATCGTTTTCGGAATAGTTTTCCTGTTCCAATCGGAAACGCCTGTTTATATGATCAGGAAAGGAAAAGTCGATAAGATACCGAAAGCATATAAAAAATTTCGAGGAAAAGACTACGATCCCTCCGAAGAGATCAAAACCATACAAGAGCAAATGGCCTCAGAAGCGGAGAGTGCTGGATTTTGGGAGACTCTGAAGACCAAGGCCGCTATAAAAGCAACGCTGATCTGCTTCATGCTGATGTTCTACCAGCAATTGTCCGGCATCAACGCCGTCATCTTTTATGCGAAGGAAATTTTCACGTCCGCCGGATCTAGCTTAGAGGCACATTGGTGCGTTATCATCATCGGTATCGTCCAAGTGATCGCCACAGTGTTCTCCTCGTGGTCCATTGAGTTGCTCGGAAGAAAAATTCTGCTGATGGCATCATGCGCCTTAATGGCCCTATCTACCGCTCTATTAGGATTGTTTTTCTCTCTGAAGAACTACGAGGCTCTCGATAAATATGGAATTCAAGATATAGGCTTCCTCCCCATCCTCTCTCTTATAATATTCATCATAGCGTTCTCGATCGGACTGGGACCTATACCATGGCTGGCTTCCTCGGAAATATTTCCTCCGGAGATTAAAGCAAAATGTGGTTCGGCCGCTGCCGTGTTCAACTGGTTTCTGGCCTTTATCGTAACAAAATTCTATTTGAACGTGGCGTCAGCCATCGGTAACGACATTACCTTTTACTTTTTCGCTATTGTGATGGTAACTGGAATATTTTTCGTACTATTTATAATTCCAGAAACTAAAAACAAAACTTTCGCAGAAATACAGAGCGAACTCTCAGGAAAATAAACCTACCTCCATATTGCTGTTAGAAATGTCCATGAAACGCTTTATAAATTGAATAATGTAAATAAACAACATAAAGATTATGCATTTTCTTTAAATGTATGTAGAATTTGGAACAATTTATACGCATTTTTAATCCATAAGTTCGTAATTATGACAGAAGCATTAGTTAATCAAAATATAAAAAAATTATGAAATTTATAAAATTGCCTCGTTTGCAAAACATCAAAAAATTAATCAGGCCGGAATAAAAATTAAGTAAATATATCAAGAGATATCAGTAGTTATTTGCCACTCGTAATAAACACTTAACCCCTCACATTTCTTCCACTAATTTTGTTCTTTGTCTAAAATCGAAGCAACATGACACTACAGGGTGTGGCGTGTATAATCTATAAAAATTAAACTACAGCTTCTTAACGAAATTTATAATAGAATAGTCTTATACGAAAAAGTTCTATTCTTGCGTTTTTTCCGTAAATTAAAATTCAATTATGGATCAAAATATTTTCTCTGGAACGGTCCTGTCCGTATGCTCTACGATCAGTTACGTGCTGTAGACCAGCCGCGTAAACAAATCGTCGTTGAAAGATATATACCTACTTCTCAATTTTTGGGGAATTTTTCAATGCAAAAGTACAATCTAATAAAAATAGATATTAAAAAAAACTGATATTTTCTTATTATAATAATTAATAGTAATTA